TTTTTCTCTCTCATCCCACCATCTTTAACCGTCTCTTTCATTTTAATCTCGGCATCAAAATTGACAAAAATTCGAGGCATCACTCGGCTCCGATCGCGCGCTGCAAAAGGCGTTACCGCGGGGTCAGTCCCCGCGATGTCTCTCAGCGGCCGGCCATCTCAGGTCTAGCCTCGGGACGATTGGACGTGACGGTTCCTAGATGTGCCAGGAGCGGTCATCCATCCTGCCATCTTTGTGGTTTACTCATAAGGTTCAATGTGCACAAAATCAGGGGTGCCCTGAGTTCCCCTAATTTTTGTTGCCTCATGAAACCAGAGTACCATCAAAACACACACTTGTTTTTGAGCCTAGGTCCCAAAGCCGCAACTTTCAGGCGGCCCATCCCTTGTGGCCGCCTGACACCGGGACTGGGAGAGCTGCAGGGTGCATCTGAGAGAGGCCTTTCGACGACCAGAGCCCCCTTAGCCAGAGTTGAGGGGCGTCAGAGGAGTCAGAGGCTGAGGGACCCTGAGCCCAGGGAGGCGAGACCGTCTCGAGGAGGACGAAAGACCCTAGCCAGGAGAGAGGAGGAGCCAAAGCCAGAGCCAGACGCTGAGGAGCGAGGGGCATACCCTGAGTGTGGGTTGGGACCAGTGGAGTTCTATCGGTTCACCGAGGGTGGATTGAGGAGGTCGCCAGCACGCGCACAGGAGGGGCCGCCAGCATCTGAGGGGCCCTTGAAGGAATTGGAGACGCATTTGGATATCTCTCAGTGGAGGGCGTCGCCTCGGGGTGAGGAGCATGGAGAGCAGGCAGAGGAGGTGCCCCGAGAGGAGGTGCCGTGGGAGAAGGTGCCACATGAGGAGGTGCCACGGGAGGAGATCCAGGGTACTCAGCGAGAGAGAGGGCTGGGCGATCAGGGGAGACGTGCGGGGAAGGAAGTGATAGAGGTTGGAGAGGACACGCCTCCATAGACGCCAGCGGTGGGTTTGCAACTCGGGGATGCACCAGGGAGCACTCGCCAGGCGGGGGAGAGGTTGCAGAGAGAGGAGGCCCCATTACCTTTATCAGAAAAGGCTCCTTCGCCAGAAGATAGGGCAGAAAGGAGAAGGGAGAGGGCAGCTGTAAGGAAAGAGGCCTTGACCCTGATTGACAGACATCTAGCAGCTTATGCCCCGGAGCACCCAGACCTGGGGGAGCCAGCACCTGCAGAGCCACGCCAGGAGCCATGCCAGTCCGAGAAGGAGATGGAAGCAGAGATCTCAAAGAGGGTCGACCTCCGCACGAGGGAAACGGCGCCAGCTTGAGAGACGGCTGAAGAAAAGAGGGCGAGAAGAACCAGGTGGATAGATGAGATATGGCAAAAGAGGCAGAGGTTGGAGGTAGCGGGGGAGCTTCCGGAGCAGCAACAGGAAAGGCAGAGATCAGAGGCAGCAGGAGCACTCCCAGATCAGCCACCCAACGCGCCAGCTAAGGCCCCGGAGATCCCTGAGATGTGGAGAGACTTCTGGGAGCGAAGAGGAGAGGAGCTTCCCTCGCCAGTCAGAGTCGGGTTTGGGGTGGTCAGGAAGGCGGAAGAGAGGTTAGATCGCAAAATCAAGTTCCTGGCCAAGACAACTTTTGACCGATACTTGTTATTGGAGAGCGATCTAGCAGGGAGGAAGATGAAGGAAGCAAGCCATGGAGTACGCCTGGAGGCTATGGAGGTGGAAATCCAGGAACTCAGGGCATTGGTGGCCAGCCAGGCAGCTATCATCGAGAGCCTGAGGCAGCAAACCCAGGGAAAGGTGAACAGGCCAGAGAGCAGCCGGCAGGGAGAGCAGAGGCAGCCAGGACAGGGATTGCCAGGACAGCCATCTGTGGCAGAGCCTCGCCAGGAGCCACCTATGGGGAGGATTATCCTGGAGCCAGAGGAGGCGAGAGCCCAGAGACAGGCGGAGAGAGAGGCATTCGAGTTCAGAGCCCCTACCGAGTTTGCGACACTGCCACTGGCAGCGGCGGGCCCAGTCGTACCTTTGGCAGTAGAGGAGGGGCGTCCACCGTCTAGCAGTGAGCCGGCTCAGGGCTCAGCAGAAGGATCCATGGGCGTGCTCCTTGAGGCGGTGCATACTATGCAGCAGGAGGTGAGTTTGTTTTCACCCGAGCAAAGGATAGAGGAGCCTCTTGAGAGAGAGATGGGGATTGAGGTGGAGGGTGCCATCGGGGGCAGACTCCAGAGGATGGGCACGCCTGAGTATGGACCAGAGGAGATTGAGGAGCAGCCCATCACAGCGCAAGGAGAGACACTCGAGAGGAGACCTCAGAGGTTGGACACGCCTGAGTACGTCCCAGCGACAGAGGATTTGAAGAGCAGACTGGGATCTTGGGCTACTGGATCTGGGTATGGGGGACCGGTTCCTGGAATGGAGCAGCAGGAAGTCGTTAGTACCGCAGCTCCTGGGACAGAGCAGCAGGGGATTGTCAGTACCTTGGTAGGATCTCCTTCATCACCACCTCCTCAGCCCAAGAAGAAGAAGTTCAAGAGGAAGGTTGATCAACTATGTTTCTACTGCAAGAGGGACGTGCATCATGCTCTGGACTGTCTCGAGTTCCTTGAGGATAAGGCAGCAGGGAAGGTCTCAGAGGTAGGAGGTAAGATGTATGATAGACAGGGTAGGATAATAGAGAAGTCCGCAGATGGACTTAGGGCTCAGTTATATAGGCAAAACCAGGAGGAGTTGAGGAGGTAGGGCCGATTTGTCTATATAAGTGGACGAGTATCTTGTGAGGCATCAACTTAGATTCTGTGTGATACCCTCTTAGATTTAGAGGACCTTTTGATGATTGCTACTAGTCTAGATCTGAACTCTAGTGTTCCTACTGAGATGGGGTCTTGAGGATCAAGATGATTTAGACGAGGCATGTACATATTTAGGTAGCCTACGCCCTGGCCTTTGAGAGACAGATCTGACATGTATTCTAGGGGTAGTTGTCAGTGTGGGTTTGGTGTGGCTTGAGTTGAGTGAGCTATGATTTGGAGACACTTTCTGTGTGAGACTTTTTATTTCCTAAGTGTAGATTATGATGAGGTTTTATTTCAGGGACCATTCTTATATGTGACGATCACTTGTCTCTCTCACATGTGTCGTTGTACTCTGATGTATGATGAGTTTGTGTGGACAGTGTGTGAAAAACATCTTATTTTGTCATGGGTACAGTGAATATGATTGTAAGCAAAACTGTTTACTCCTCGGTATACTTGTGCGACCTGCCCACGGGCAACTGAGAAGGCAGAGTATAAGGGGAGGAAGTGCAGCCCGTTTGTGAAAAATTGTGAGAATTTTGAAGATTTATGAGCCCTGGAGGCTCAAAAAGCTTACCATGTTGATTATTGATTGCTTAAGTTGTGATGAGGACCCATAAGATGGTCTCTCAATGATGTTTTGTTTTATGATGAGAGCCCCTTGGATTTTTGGAAAAGGGGATGTTTTTGTGATGATGTGTGTTATGATGAGACCCCGTCGAGTTTTGAGGAGGGGAAGTTTGGTTTTATGGCGAAACCCCTCGTGATTTCTGGGAGAGGGGGTGTATTGTTTTATGGTGAGACCCCTCGTGATTTTTGGAAGAGGGGGTGTTTTGTTTATGATGAGAACCCCTTTGGATTTTTGGAAAAGGGGAATGGTTTATGGTTGGAAGACTCACCCTTAGAAGTGAGTAAATTGATTTATAGCATGACGAGTTATTTGATGGGTGATAAACTCTGACAGAAAGGGCCACCTTTGTTTGGAATGTTTGAGAAAGTCGCAATGAGTGCAGGGCGAGAGACGTCTCAGGACGGGTCGCTGCTGGCTCTGATCAAGTCAGGGGTCACGGCCTGGTGGACCTAGCGGTGATTTTGTTTGTGAGCGTGCGAAGGATGCCATGCCTATTGTGGAAGGGTTGGTAAATGCCTTCGGACCCCTGCGTATCGCGCAGTGGGCCTGTGATTTTGTTTTGCGACGCCCCGCCTAACCACATGTGCTAGTTCTGTGACATATTGAAGAAAGGCCAAGCTAACGGAAAAGAAGTTAGTACCTCTGGGGCGTAACCCCATTGGATGACTGCTAGCCGGCGCAACCTGGCTGCGGGACCGCAGGGTAAGAGTTTAAGGGGGTGCCCGCCCCAGTGAAAATTACTCCGCGGGATAGTGATGATTGAATTTTTTTGGAGGAATCCTGATTGGATGCTTATCAGGAGAAAACCTATCGTTGCGTAACCAACGAGGGGTACTAACGTTAAAAAACAATGCGGTGGGCCGTAGTCCTGGCCCGATCAACCAGGCTATGGTGGGCCAAGGTGGAGACCTAGCCTTTCTGTACTAGACTGCAGGAAGGGCTGAGCGGATATTAAGTATACATATCATATGCTTATGTGTATTTGATTGCGAGATATTTTTTTTTAGAAGGAAGGCGAGAGTGCCTTCAAAGGTCTCGATTAAGGTCCGCGTCCCTGGTTATTGCCAGGACTAGGGACACCCAACGAGAAGCCGAAGGTTGTCTAGGACCAGGGAGAGGACGATTGATAAGGTCCTTGGAACCTATGATGTCAGTGTCCTAATTTCTGGGCGGTAAGAGGCCTGGGTTAAAAACCTGGCAGCATATAGTTGTGGAGGCACGGTTTGATGGAGGCCTCTACCCTGTGTTTGTCGGCTAATCGGATTGGCTCGTGTTTAGTCAGCATTTGGAGTCTGGATGAATTCATAGCTTTCTGATTTGGCGAAGCGACGGGGACGTCGCTTAATATGGTCCGGTAAGTTGTCGACGCGAATACCCTTACAAGGGTATCCGCCCTGGTTTTTGCAAGTGACAGAAAATAGTTTTGGTTTAAAATTTAAGTATACCGTGCTAGGCGCGGCTACGTATGTAACTTACGTTGACAGGAGGGTTGACTATAATAGAGAGTGCGTGGGCGCGCAGGTTTGAGGCGCGCGTGATTMTTTCTSTTGTTGATCATAAAGYCGGCACGGACGTCGGTCGTATTGTTTAATGATATTATTAATACCTTTTTATTTTTGATTAAGTAGGAACTGGGGATATTTCCCTTTGATTGGTGCGTTGGCTAAGGCGAGCGCTTTGTGTGAGGACGACGACGACAACGGCGACAGTGTGACTGTGGTAGGTCTCGGCACACGGAGGGGCGCGAGTGGCGTCTGTGGTACAACTTTGGTAAGTCGGCGCAGACGCTGGGCGGCCTCGCGCAAGGTTGTAGGCGGAGATGAGGCTCAGGCCAATTTCCCTGACCCTGAGCGCAGCGCCGCACCGCCTTATATGGCACTCGGCGTGTAGCCCTATAGGTTACGGTATCGGACTACTATTATGAAGGTTTGGGGATCGAGGCCAGCGAGTGTCGGCGCAGCAACGGCGGAGCGCTATGGAGAGAACCGAGGGGTTGAGGGCCCGACGGGGCTATCCCCCTTTGGTTTTGTTGACAAGCGCGGCGACAAGCCCGATCCACGGGACCGGTGAGGCTTAGTAGTCCCCACACCCTGCTTAGAGATTTCTATTTATAATAATTTATTTTATCTTTGCTTTTTCTATATTTACCTATTATTTCTATTGGTATTTGCGGTCCCGTTTTGGTTCGGGGTGCGGTACCGCGACTGGCAGTCCACGTCTTAAAGAACCGCAGGTGGGGGTACCACCGCGGCTAAGTCCTTCGGGACATCCGTTAAAATTGGAACGATACAGAGTAGATTGGCGTGGGGCCTCGGCACCAGTAAAGGCTATAAAACGAGGGTCGGCCGACAGCCAGAGCTTTTCTGAGAGGCGGGGGCTGTCGGAYCACGCGATGGAAAGCGGAGCGGCCAGGGCTGTCGGACCGCGGGTTGTGCTGGATACGGACAGGCCGGGCAGCAGCGGGGACGACCCGAAGCAAAGGCGGTGGTCGAGGCGCAGTGGAGCAGTCGGTGGACTAGCGCTGAGGTGGAGGCCCTCAGCAATACTGACGAGCAAATCGTTCGTCGGGCTTGGGTATAGGGACGAAAGACTAATCGAACCGTCTAGTAGCTGGTTTCCTCCGAAGTTCCATCAGGGTGGCAGGCGCTGTCGGGCAGGGCCGCTGCGCTAAGGTGCCGAGCACTGCGCAGGCAACGATAGTTTGGGCAGTGGGTTGCGTTGTGCAATAGCGAGCGGGCCAGGATACGTGCGGGGTACCAATGAGCCAACGGGCGGCATGGCGTTGTGCAACAGCGGGGCGGAAGGGTTGGCCAGGCAGCGCAGGGTTAGACAGCAGCCGACGGAGGAATAGCGCTGTGAGACTGGGCGCTGCGGTAGCGGCTAACGCAGGAGTGCCGAAGGCAGCAAGGCAACGGAGGAGCCGTAGGAAGGGGGGAAATGGACCTAGACAGGCAGGTGCGCTAGGTGCATTCAGAGGGCAACAGAGCTAGGAGTAGAGCAAGCAGCGGGCGGAAAACCGGGAGCCAAGGCAGCAGGGTGGCGGAAGTAGGAATAACCCAGGTGAACCTGGCCCGGACTTCCGCCCGGGTGCATTCGCGTGGAGATGGCGGAAGGGTGACCCAGGCGCTGTAGAGAAGGGGTAGCGCACTCGATTCCTAACGGAATCGAGCAGGAGGAGAGTCGAAATCGAGGTTCTGGAGGGCTGCGACCACGGCTATGAGGTCAGTTTTATATGATAGTTAGTAAGATAGAAGAGACGAAGAAAAATCGGTGCGCGGGGATATCGGGACATGGCGGAGTTAGCAGCGGGGAAGACCGAAGCTACGTCCGATTCATGATGGAATCGGGTGAGTTATAGTGCTAATCGGGGGTTCTCCATCATTGCGAGTACGATGGCGAATTCAAATCTAGGCTTAGTTCTAGTATGGAGTTAGTATAGGAGGTGTTAGTGAGAAAACCGGTGCGCGGAGTGACCGGGAAGAAAAAAATAAATAAATAAAATAAACCTGGACACACTTTGCGCCAGGGGCATTCGACGAAAGCTATGGTGAAGCGTGGCGAACGAGAGGGAAAGAAGTTCGTTTTTCGCCCGTTCCTCACCGGAATCGGGCGAGGTAGAGGTCTAGATGGGGGTTTTAGCAAAGGACGAATGCAATGGCGATGTTAGTTTCAAAAGAAAGTCTGTAGATTAGGGAGTTAGTAAAAAAAGTGAAGTACGTAGAACTATGGAGGGAACATGGGGAAGAGGAAAAGGAAAATGTACAGTGCAGTTAGTCACGGACATGATCAGGCGTAGGAGGAGGTGATTCTGGGGTTCTGACCCCGGGCAACCATCGTGGTGAAGTTAGTTTGGGAAGGGAGTCAGTAGAGTAGGAGATAGAGGAGGAATGGACTGCGTGGAGGAGTGAGGGAGAGAGTGAATTAACTTAGACAGGGCTAAAAGCTGGGTGCATTCGGGAAAGGTAGGAAGGAGGGAGTACGCACCTGGTCGGGTCCTTGTAGAAGATTCGATCGAATTTTGCCCATTTCATTCGATGAGGTTGCGCGAGGTAGTGGGGAGAAATAAGCCGAGGGGCCGGAGACTTACCTGTTGACCAACAGATATGGCTCAGCGTGCAGACGGAAGCCACGTGGTTGAGCACCACCGAGAGGCAGTTCGTGACTCTACCCGTTCGGCGCATTCGGGTTCGCGTATCCGGCCAAAGGGGGGGGGATCTAAATGCATAAAAGATCAGTAAGGAAGGAAAATGATGATGTGTGGGTACGTACCTGGTTGGACGCGAGTGTGAGGCGAGGAGCCTGGGTGGCTGTTTGAGGTCCAATGCTGGGTTCTGTTGAAAGACATCGGACTGAGGGCCGTATCCGAAGGTGGCTTGGAAGGTGGCGAGCCATCTGTGGAGGGTGAGAGTTAAGGGGAGGCGTAGGAAGGCGGCAACGCTGCTCCTCCTTACTTGCAGGCATCACTAACCCATGTAGTACCAGGTTAACCGCGGGAGTGCAGACTTATCCGAGGGCTGGAGAAGCAAGGAGTAAGACCGCAGATTAACTGGTTACGACTGATCAGCGGTTGTTACTTAGTTGCTTTTCGCAGAGCAGCTGCATAGATCATGGTTGGGGATGGCTCACGAATTGCGGGTTTGCCCGAACAACGTGTGAAAGAGAAATACAGTCCGCTGCGGGCTGAACACAGACTACAGCCATGAGTGGTTGTCGATAGTATACGAGTGGCCGCTGTTGCTGCGGGCTGTTGATGCGGGTGACTGTGATTGCTGATTGTTGACCATCGCCAGGAACTGCTGCTGCCCGCCGATTAGTGTTGTGTACCGCTGCATATTGCCGTAGGAGGTGGCCGGTTGTTAAAGGCCGCGGGGCAGCGGGGATTGGGTAAAGGAGGTCATTGCTGTGAGAAAGGCGCTCGTCAGGAGAGTTGGAATGACGTTTTGACTGTGGTTTGATCGAGTTGTTAAGCTTTGGCCGCCATTGTGGGGCCCTCAGGCGATCCAAGATTACAAGGCCCTCTCTTGCGAGACTGAGAGCACCATTCTTAGATCTGAGAGTCTCACACTTTTCTGTTTCTATCCGTCTAACTCTAAGTCTAGTCCTGTTCAGAGAGGAAGGCGGCATGCGGGATTGCAACCCGTAGGACCGCGTCAAGACTCTGTGGGGAGTCCACCCACCGATTGCGGGAGCTCTGCCGGAAGCTAGGCGAGGTTCAGGAGGCAGGGAACCTTCAGGTAAATCATCTTCATCCGTACAGCCTACTACTACCCATGTTTGCCTATATCCCTGTAGTATGATTGCCGTATGCATGTGTTGTCCCTATGATTTTTGTTTTCTCTTCAGGACGATTCAGACTAACTGGAAGGAATGTGTGAGAGTGAAGCCTAAGTTTCTACTTTGTTCTGATTGAAAGCAGACTAAGGATGAACTGGGGGAAGGTGGGAGGAAGGTAGACTGCATGCGTTTGACCGGGTCGACTAAAACCTGAGCATTGTTTCTACTGTGAATGGCTCAGGGCTATGTTTATTTGACTGTTTTCTGAAGGACGAGGCATTGTTTCTACTGTGAATGGCTTGGTCGCTGTGTTTATTTGATTGTTTTCTGGGGAGCCAGACATTGTTTCTACTGTGAATGGCCTGGCTACCTTAGTTAACTCTGAGGGTTTGCCTGATTGAAGGGGTTTAAATTCTTGTTTATTTTGAGGGAGGATTTTTGGTCCAAGGCTAAGCATTGTTTCCATGGTGAATGGTTTAGCCTGAAAACCACGCACATAAATTAAACTAAGTATAAAGGAAAGTACTTTATGTATATTTGCATGTGAACTGGCAGCTGTGAATTGTTTCTACTGTGGTCCAGCGTTAAGCCATATCATTAAGAAGAGAAAAAGGAAAATACAAAGTATAAATGGAAATAGCTGGGCAAGCTGAACATTGTTTCTACTGTGAATGGTTCAGTCCCCTGCCCATATTTGCCCTTTCGTTTTAACAAAGTCAGAGAAAAACTAAAACTTTGGATATTAAATAGCTCAGGGCGACTAGGTATTGTTTCCATGGCGAATGGCCTAGTCATTTGCCCAAAAGAAGAAAGAAGTAGTTGTGCAACCTGTTCGTGTATATCATAAAGACAAGTTGGGCATTGTTTTCATAGTGAATGGTGCAACACTATGTCTTATGTAAGATGGGTATAAGGATTCAAGAACTTGAAGATTCATGAACTATCGATATGGAATGAACTTGGGATGGTGAGAGTACTTACACTTATGGTTTGGTTTGCATGTGACTGGATGGGATAACTAGTTTGTTTGGGTTTCATTTTTATAGGTAGTTGCTTTAGTTGCTCGCCACGTGCTAGAGCCATAGGAGTTAGTGTCAATTCCTGCATTTTCTGTAATAACTTTTTTTTTACTTAGGTCAATTCCTGCATTTTCTGAGATCTTTTCTTATACTTGGCTTTGTATAGAATATCGTGCAGGGGCACCACCTATCGCTCTTATCCCCTCCCTTCGCCAAATGTCACCTTGATATCCGATTGCTTGCCACATACCCTGTCGCGATTGGGGCTAGCAGCAACATCGGGAGTAAGGCCGTCAACGGCAGAGTAACAACGAACGGAAGAAGGTCGTAAGTACGGACAAATTTAGAGCTAGAATTACTGTTATTCTTGTCACTGTAGCAATCAGGTACGTATTTCCTACCACATTCTCCAGCCCTTCTCTTTTCCTTCTCCAATCCGTCTCCCCTTTCTTCACCTTTTTGCTTGCTGCCTACTATCTACTTCCACCTCACCCTAGCTTACGTTCAATTAACAGCGAACCCTGTCAAGATCTCAGCCAGTAACGTACACACCAAAGGTCATGGAGCGATGAAGAAGTAGCATTGCCTGTCACGTGCTTCGAATGGTGACAAGGCAAGGTGAGTGTGGGCTCTTTCAAAAAAGCAGCCAGATTCATTGCTTGTTGGCCGCGACCCATGCTTATAAACAAAACTCGGATCTGCGTTGCACGCTGTTCTCGTTCGGGGGCGAACGCGAACACGTTCTCGCC